TTGTTTTAAGTGTTCACAGTTTAGCAGCTAAACTTTAGCTGTGGGCACGATTCGCTTGCATAAGTGTTTTTGTATTTTATGACATTATTATAAGAATGGACTTGGGCACTATATTATTGTTTTATGTAAAGGTGCTTTGTCAGTCGTAGCGCTCGCTAACTTGCTCAAGGAATCCTCTCAGTGCCAATCACAACAGGCTTGGCCAGCTGACCAATCAGAGCTCTACTGCAAAACTCTACTGTTTAACTCTAGTGGAGTTGGAAAATGAGCCTATTTTCAAAAATAGTGGAGTGCTCTTTTAACATGGAGTGAGACAATGTATACCTATCATATGGGCTTTACTGCTAGACACTTTCATTGTCCAAAACCTTGTGTTAGGATGATCTCTGTCAAACATTAATCTCTGGCATTACTACACTGCCTGTACATAGAGACAGAGGCAAAACACAGTTCTCATATATGGGTCAAGTACTGGCTTGCAACAACAGCTTAAATAAGATTACAGTTCCGCTGGAAGTGTTGAGAGGAAAGGCCGTTTTAAGTCGACCACTCCAGGCCAAGCCTGGTTGATTCTCTATGGATTCACAATGCATTATAAGGCTGTTTGTAAGTGTCCTAAACAGTGACTGTCTGGGACAACAAAGACGACATAAACAGATGACGTGAAATTATCCATGGTTGAAGAGATTTTGGACAGATTTTACATAGAAAAAGCCCTGACTATATGTAAAGTAATACCATCCACTCTCTACTGGTCAGACAGAAATTAAACTGACAGATCATCCATCACACAAATAGTTGCAAAAGGCACTGTCCCTAAATATGGTACAGTTTGATCATTTGTAAACCATTATAAAGCACAAATCCTTTTGTTTTTGTTGTGAGAACAATTAGGTATATTTATTGAACTATTATTATATATCATAAAATTACATGAAAAGTAACTAGCTTTAAACATATTAAAGAGCAGGTCATGTGGTATTTTAAAGTGTCCTAATATTGTGTTGGAGTCCCCTAAAAAAAGGTTTAAATGCATCTAAGGTCAGAAAAACATTGTAATTTTCTCAGAATATACATTTAATATTAGAGTAATTTGCCAATGATTTCGAAACGATTTGTTCCAAGCAAGTTCGGAGCAAACCCCTCCCTTCCATAAGCCTACTCTGCTCTCGGAGAGCTTGTTAGTCCAAATAAAGAAGATTAGAAGCCAACGAAGATAAAAGCCAAGATTAGAGAAGCAGTCCTTGGTAAAATGACATGCACACAACAAAAGGTTTGAATTGTATTTCTGTGGTATCCTTGAACACAGCGTCTTCTCAACATGATGTAAACACACTAACTAGCCGAAGTGTTTGTGGGCAGACTCGCGGGGGGATTATGCAAATGTCTTACCCAGTGATGTATACAGGTAACAGGCAAAAGATTCGAAAATATGACGACTCGTTAAGGCGATTCAGAATCGACTCTCTCTTTTGAGAGACAATATCTTTATTTATCATGCACTTTTTTGATTAACAACTTTGCAGATTGTTTTCATTTAAGGATAGCTACATTATAAACTGCAAAAGTTTTATTTATTAGATATTTTTCAAAAACCCATATGACCTGCTCTTTAAACATTTGTGTCTTTCATTTAAAATAGTGATTTTTGCCAGTCCCACCTAAGAGGATTTTTTGTTTTGAAAGAAATGAATGCTTTTATTCAGCAATGATGCATTAAATTGGTCAAAAGGGACAGTAAATAAATGTATAATGGTATAAGATTTCTATTGTAAATGAATGCTGTTCTTTTGAACTTTCTATACATCAAAGAATCCTTTAAAAAATGTGTCACAGTTTCTATAAAAATATAAAGCAGCAGAGCTGTTTTCAACATTGATAATAATAAGTGTTTCTTGAGCACCAAATCAGCTTGTTACAATGATTTTTACAAGGATCATGTGACACTGAAGAAATTCAGCTTTGCATCACAGGAAGAAATGACATGTTAAAAATACATTAAAACAGATTTTAAATTGTAATAATATTATTTCACAATATAGCTTTTTTGTTTTGTTTTTGTTGTTTGTTTTGTTTTGTGTTTTGTTTGATTTGTTTTGTTTTGTTTGTTTCGTTTTGTGATCAAATAAATGCAGCCTTGGTGAGCATAAGAGACTTCTTTCAAAAACATTAAAACATCATACCAACCCTAAACTTTTGAATTGTAGTGTATATTAATTCATAAAAAAAAATAATAATAATAATAAATATTGTTTTTTAATTGTCACAGTCAAGAAGTAAAATCATCTGTATTTCAAGCATTCAACCCTGTTACCCATGTCATTACATGAAAAAAATGATCAAATAAATATTTGATCCCAAACTATAGCTCGCCCCTACTGAGTGAAAGCTTAATTTAGATGAATAAAATAAATAGAAATGTATACAGCTCATTTAATATTGACCTTCTTTGGTTGTACGATCAACATTTTATGGAGGTTAAGCATCACTGACCATTTATTTAAAAAAGGGGGAAAAAACACTTACAACAATGTTTTCTACTCTTTTCGTGGAAACGGTCAAAAATGACTTAATTTGTATTTGTAATTTTTCCCCATTTAGTTTTTCATTTGCATTACATGTCTAGGTCTCAGAAGATTGAGAAAGAGAGGAGAGGGAAAACAAGAGGAACAGAGAGAGACATCTGAGGGAAACTCTAAGCTGATCCTGCTGTTCAAAACATGATACTTGCACTAAAAAAAAAAGACTGTGCCAGCACTGATGAGACAAGTAGCCCTTCCCTCTAAAGCAGTCTTCAAAGCAGCAGCTGTCTGTTTCATCAGCATAGTTTATCAGATGAACAGATTACACTCAAAATGTTACAAATGGCTGATAAAGACTAGTAATAGAGGCTTTTTAAATAACAGTAAAAAGTTTAAACATCAGATTTCTGCTGTTTTCGCTTGGATGGTTATCACTAATACTTATATAATATCTAAAGGTTCGGTTATATTTATTCACAGATATGTGTCGAATGGGAAAATGCCAAAGGTGCAGAAGTCCGTGGGTTCAAAGGGCATTACGTCTATGTGAGAAGGTCAGTTAATGTCAGGTGCACTGAACTGTAAATGCACATTTCAAAGCAACTTAACTAACATGCTTTTACATGTTTTCCTTTTTTTCACATTCATTCTGTTCAATTAATGGCAAATGCGACCATGAAGATACCACACATAACGGAAAAATAATGAGAGTGGTTTTATTTCCTCACAGTAATATTAGATAGTAATTCTATGCTCTGCATTCAAGAACAAATGCAGTAGATGTGGCATCAATGTGCAGTTTTCTTTATGTTCAATAAGATGTGACCACTACTGTATTTACAGGCTAATGTATATCTGAAATACAGCTGGTAAGTTTATCTAACCAATAAAAATCGACAGGCAATATGAAGCTGCACTTCAAATAATATATTTAGAGTGAGCTCACACTATGGAAGCAATATCTGTGGAAATACACTTTATCTCATATCCAATGTCTAGGGGTGAAAACAAACCATTAAGGTCAAACATTCCTAAGACATTGTGTATTGATTAGAACTTTTAGTTATATTTTGTTTTATTGCTAAAAAGGTGTCTTGAATTTAAGACAAATATGACACATCAAGTTGACTAAAATGTTCTGTTATATTTATAATTTATTGCTAAAAAGGACATTTCTGAAAACACTGAAAAATAGTCTGTTTATTATTAGTTCATTTGTAAATTACATTAATGCAATATATATATATATATATATATTGCATTAATGTAATATGCAAAACAAAGACATTTTTATGTGTATACAAAATAAACTTGTTTTTGTTCTTTTAATTTACTTTGAAATAAATAAAAAGGAATCAAAATATATAAAAAATTACTCATATATATATATATATTATAATGTACAATGTAGTAGCAGAATAAACTGTTATAAATATTGAACCATTTTTTTCTATGTAAAATAAATAAGAAAAAATACAAATGAAGAAATGTATACATTTCTATATTTATTTATTTATTTTACATATTTATATACTAAATAAAAATTAGTAATTTCTATATATTTTGATTCATTTTTATTTATTTCAAAGTAAATTAAAAGAACAAAAAAACAAGTTTATTTTGTATATACATAATTTCTTTGTTTTGCATATTGTGTATAATGTGTAAAGTTGAAATTAATATTGGATTGCACTGTATATTGCACTGCTACAATTAGGGGCGTTTCACCAAAACAAATTTTATAAAAAAATCAAGTTTGGCCAATAAACTTCAATAAATACCCTGTAAAACTCTCATCAAACCTCCTACCCTGCTATAAAACTATAATTGGCATGTCATACGACTGTGTATGACTATGAATGTATTAATCTTTCCTGGTTGGAGGAATTCACCTGCTGTATCACACAGCCCTGATGACCTACAGAACTCGCTCTATTCACAGCTGCAGAATCAGGAGGACAATAAACAGATAATGCTGCATCTGGAGACTTGACTAATGTGTCTTCTCATATATAGGGAAAGAAACTACTGAAGACAGCAGATTCTTGATTAACTTTTTAAAATATAATAAACAATTAATCTTCTTAACAGACATAAAAGTCTATTACAGCTTTGATAATAAAACTATTTAAACAAATACATAAATAATATTGCCTAAAGCATATACCTACTCTGTTTATGGTTAAAAAAAACTAATTTTAAACAACCCACATTTGCTCAAAGCACAAGAAGTAAGCCAAAGCAATTATTATCGTTATTGTTTAATAATTATCTACCCGTTCAGATGGATTTTATCAGAGCAGGATTTAAGCTATATGAATAATAAATATATGCTGAAAAATAAATAACTGGCCATTAAGAAAAAACTAAAAGTAGCTCGTGCACGTTGATAGAGTGTTCTTGATCAAGCCCTTTTAAATAGAGATGCCCTAAAATGACTGAGCACACAGTAACGTCCAGCAGATACTGACTACTCACCCCCAGTTTCTTACTCCGAATCCTCACGTAGCCCTGCTTCACTATATCGTTGAAGTTTGAAGCCATCCTAACAGCCTCTCTGTCCTCTTCCCCGTCTGGGCTGCGAGTCCCCTAAGAAGTCAGTGCGACATTCAGTCCTCAAGCAGCCTCTGCCTCAGTGCCAGTGCCGCCGCCGCCGCTGCTCGGTTAACCGGCGAGAACCGCTCATTCCACCCGAGAGTGGGGAGACAGCGCGGGCGTCAGATGATTTAATTCAGTGAAGAGAGCAGCTTCCTGGAATGCACCATGAGAGGACTGTCAGAGGGGTGGACGCAGACAACTACTCGCTTGCTTAAAATGGAATAAAAAATAAAAGAATGAATGAATGAATGAATGAATTTATTTACGAATGAATGAATGAATGAATGATATTGTGGGTTTATGTTTTTGAGAATATGTTATTTCATTTCACACAGGCACAGGAAATTTTCTTTAGATGTGGAAATCAAAAATTAACAGCTGTATAGCTAATATAAGACCAATAATAATATAATATGATGATGATAATAATAATAATAATAATAATAATAATAATAAATAAATAAAATAATTTATTCTAGTCTGTGTGTGTATATGTATATATATAATTTATTGTGGACTAAAGCAATAAGCCCCAAGAAGCCGTGGTTTGCAGTGAATTTATAACAGCTAAGGGGCGTTGTTAGGCACGAAGCTTAGCTGTTATAAATATAAAGAATGATATTAATAAAAACAGTATTCTTCCACCAAACAATGTAGTTCCTCAGAATCAGTTGTGGTTGCAACAAAGTGGTTGCCAAGCAACAGACAAACGTAAACAAAGGTGTACGTTTGTAGAGTAATTTACAACAGCTTCGAACGTGGCTCAGCCAATCAGAATCAAGGACCGGAACTATCCGTTTTATAATGTAACTTATCACACACACACACACGTCATTAGAAATAAATAAATATTATGATATTTCAGTATTAAGAGGTTTTGGGAATACATTTCATTTTAATATTCTTTTTTAACAGCTGTATATCCTAGGTAATATACAATGGAAAAAAGTTAAATGTGCTAACATTTAATTGTAAAGTAATTATGTAGTATACTACTCATTCATTCATTCATTTAACATGTTTTACAAGAATAGGATTTGGGATTTCATCGGATGCCCATTTTCCACAAGATATGATTCTTAAGGGTCTTAATTAAAAATCTATAACATACTTTGGTTAAAATTTCTCAATGGTAGTGTAAAACAACACCCTTTTTTACGGTGGTCGAGAAGTGCGAAGCAAATCACAATTCTGAATACAAACATTTGCGTTTGTAATTTGTTATTTTGTTTTCAGAATTGTGATTTGCTTCGCACTTCTCGGCCACCGTACTTTTTACCTTGTCAAAACAGCTCTGTTCACAGCGACCCGTTTCAGTGTAGCGTCGAAACAATGGCGGACTGTTGACAGCTCACTCAGGGCGGGTCTAAGACACCAGTCCAATCTGTGCTGAAACTCTACTGTCAATCAACAATCGTGGGAGGGGCCTGGGTCTGTGTGACGTCACACAGCCAAGAGGCTGAGAACAGCTTGATTTGAGAAAGGGGATATTGTTTATCTGGATTTAAAAAAAAAAAAACACTGTGGACGCACTTCTCGGCCACCGTACTTTTTACCTTGTCAAAACAGCTCTGTTCACAGCGACCCGTTTCAGTGTATGTCTCTTTAAATGCTAATGAGCTCTGCTCACCCCGCCCCTCTCTTCTGTGGAGCGATGCGCAGTTCTCTGAGAGAAGGTAAAGTTTAGCCACATTCATCATGAAACTTGCTAACTAGCACATTATTAGGAAAGGCGATTTGCAAAGATTCATGGGGTGCATTCCCTTCAAAAACAAAGGTAAACCATTGCGTCTTCAGCAGCTCAGATGTCGTGAGTACATAATGACGACATGACGACATAACGACTGCTATGTTCAATTATTACATCCAACAATAGAACACCTCAATCGCTTAGGAGGCATTCTTGTCTACACCTGCTCCAGCGTCGAAACTATGGCGGACTGTTGACAGCTCACTCAGGGCGGGTCTACGACACCAGTCCAATCTGTGCTGAAGCTCTACTGTCAATCAACAATCGTGGGAGGGGCCTGGGTCTGTGTGACGTCACACAGCCAAGAGGCTGAGAACAGCTTGATTTGAGAAAGGGGATATTGTTTATCTGGATTTTAAAAAAAAAAAACACTGTGGATTTTTATCATTATAGGGTGGTTGTGTACCCACACTGCCAAGACACATTTCAGTTCAAACAACATGTAAAAGTGAATTTTGCATCCAATGACCCCTTTAAAACTAATGTCACAGTGATAAATTCTTAATGGCTCTAAATTTAAAATATGAAATATGACAGGTTGAGTGAGACTGCATGTTGTTAGTGATTCCAACATGTTCCAAACATAGCATGCCTTAAGTAATCTGACAAGTTAACCCCCAAAAAACATAAGACTCCTACTGTTTTACATCTGACAGATACATGTGCTATGTGATATCTTTAATCCGTAAGACTTCATTTTCATTCATTCATTAGCAAAATACAGTTTTGCTTTCATATGAGAATTATCCATCTACAATAAACTAGTGGATGGGAGATTTGTTTTGTTGATTGGATCCTTGGGATTAAAAGATCAAAGCAGATCAAAAGCAAATGAGAAAAAAGAAAGAAAAAAGAGGTTTGGGATGTTATATTCATCCATTAGATGTAGAGCATGCTGTAGCTCCACTGACACAAATGCTGAAATGCCTGCAAAAGCCTCCTCCTCTAATCCTGATTTATGGAGACACCCTTTTGCCTGTGGAAAAATGCCAAACTCCATTAGATACAGCTGATGACACAGTTACACGTGTGAGACGGTTTTGTGCATCTCTCATGACAATGAAAGATGTTATATGGATGAAGATCTCATATAAAAAAAAGTCAAATAGTAAAATGGATCTGGCGTAAAATCCATATGGATGATCTAACTTGATTTCAGTAAAGAATTATATATAAATATAAATATTTATTAGTTTGCCTTTCTCATCATACATCAATTCCACCACCACAAGAAGAAAAAAAAGTTTAAAAAAAATAAATAAACAAAAAGGAAGAAGAAGGTCATTGGGAACTATAGGTAATTTGAAAGCTGTCATTTCTCATTTGTTTATTTTGTTCTGAGGCACAACATTATGCAGTTGTTTCTCAATTCTTTTTCCATTTCTCCTGGCTATGAAAGTTACATTAAAATACATTAAAACATTACATTAAAATAAACTCAGTCAGAGAATATGCTGCAAATGTTTGATACTCAGTCTGTTACCACATTTTATATAAGACAATAAGTGTAAATAAATAAAATATCAATGGGTCAATGACACTCATTCTTTACCTATTCAATTATAAAACATTATTTTTTAATTAAGTCATTAGGCATTCATAAAACATTAAGTATTTCATGCATATACAATGACTTGAAAACACCTTCTGATGAACATGCTTAACATTCCTGAATCAAAGTCATTTTAATATTTTTGCGGTCAGCAATGTCAAGTTGGACATACTATATTACCTAAAAGTGAAAAACGTGAAAATTGAGAATAATGAACATAAGGAAAGTATGTTACTTTCTACTTGATTATTACACCATTTGACATTTTTGGAGTTTTATCTATTTATTTATTTATTTATTTCTGATATTTTGGTATTATTGATTTAGATGTGGACATCAGAAAAAAAACAGCTGTATACTAAAAAATAATATACTAACAAACAAACAAAAAGTTACATTTGCCAACATAATGTTTCACCTTATAAATGTTTAAAAAGATTATTGAGAATTACTATTAATATACTGTATGTACAACAACACGGATCAACATGTAAGGAAAGGATGTTGTACTTTCTACTTGATTGTTATACCATTTAACATTCGAGTTAGTGAAATTAAAAATCAAATTAATTCAGAACTTTTGTTGAAAATTGTATAAAAGTTTTTTTAATGCATGAAACCAACGTGAATAAAGATATTACATTAAAATGCATTAATGCATATATTTGAAACTATCTATATTATATTGATATTAATGTTGTGTCAACTGCTGTCTGTCAAAAAAGGTTATTCATTGCATGTTGAGTAAAAAGATCATTTTGCATTCAACTCTCACAACCAACAATCATCCTTTTCCGCAACAGACGTGCAACCTCAGATGAAGTACCTTTCACAGCAACTTTATTTGCAAGCCCTCCACTTACTGTAATGCATAAAAAATGAAATCTCCACTGACTCCACCCTGAGGAGTCTGGTGTCATATTTATGATTTATTCATAACTGTTGAATAGGAAATGGTTTGAGGTTTTCTTTGACCTTCACTTTTGAGGTAACAGACTTTAGCAGCCCAGCTGCCTTTGAAGTAATTTAGCTGTGCTGATGATATAGGTAACTCACCAATAAATGAAAGCTCTACAAAACCTAACCCTCGATGCACGAGGAGTCTGAGAGCTGTCACTGAAGGTGACAATAAAGGCTTCCGTCGAAGATGGAACAAAGTCTTCCACTGGAATAAACATCAAACATTTCATTGTGTAGTGTGTGAAGTGTGAACTCCAAACTATTAATCACAGCCTGGCTGTGCTATATTGGGATTTATTGTCAAAAATGTGTGCCTTGTCACACTTTAACTGCTGTCTAACTGTCACACTCATTCACACATGCACACAACTACACACTCTGCATGTGAAATGTCACAAGACTCACTGCCACTGCATGTCTGATCATGGTTGGTAACTCAGCTCAAAGCACATTCTAAACAGAAAGCTTATTTCATTCACAATCTAGAATTTTTTCCTTGTTTTTTAACAAAATTTCTTGCTTTCATATTTTGTTATGAACAATCAATATTCAATTATTTATTTGAAAATACAAAATAATATATTGTGTTAATATATTACAATATATCGAATAATACATAATCAATTGCCAATTTCATATACTGAAAAATATGTGGAACTTACATAACTTACATTATAATGTATGAAATTTTATATTCAATAATACAATTCATACAGATACATAAATAAGGTACTGAGTGTGTATAAATATATTTGAACATGTTCACAATTATATGAGAACATGTGTTCAATAAATGTACAAAATTATGTGGATAACCATGATATATATTCATATATTTC